ATCAGGGTGTATCTCCATATTTTAGAACAACTGCTCTAGTCAGTAGCGGCTGCGGTGGAATAGAGCTAGCAGGATCCACCCAGCTTCAGAACGGATTAAAGAAGATGAATATCGGAAATCAGGAGGATGACACGAGACCATCGGGGAGCTCCATCTCTTCCAAATAAACCACTTGAATTGAAAGTCAAGAAACAAACACTTGTTCTATTCCAGGATCATTCACTAGCCGCAGTCTCCTGGCCTTAGTTTCTGGATAATGTTGAAGTTACCTGAGGCTGTTTCTGGTTTCGAAGGCATATGATTCCCAAACTCGGGAGTGAGTTTCCAGTAGTCAAATATCGTTCACACCTCTGTTTCCTAAGAGGATGTGTTCTAATGCTGAGCAAGACTACCCAGATGCCGAGGTGTCTGCAAAGGGAGACAGCAGGGAGGCCGCGCTGCGTCACTATGCGACATGTGTGACACTTGTATCCTTCGGATGTCCAGGATCTGGCCGGAAGAAAACAAATTGCAAAAACTAACAAGAAAACTCAAGTCATCCTCTCATCTTTGTTCCTGGGACTCCCAGTTATTCCTTCCGTTACAGTGGATTAAGGAGTAAATGACATAACTTGTTTTCAAAATGTCAGGCGTGCACATCACAGTACTTTTAAGAAGCTTTTAATGCTGACCCTTGGCGTACATCTTACCCGAAATGAGGGATGACTGCCTTGCCGTGTGGGATGTTTCTAAGTTGCCGATCATTTGTACAGAGCCTGTGATTGCAAAACCACAGAAATGTGGCAATAGTGAAAACCTCTAATTAAGCATAATAAAATGACAGGGCAGATTTGTTTTAAATACATGGTTAATCACGCTTATTGGTGTAAGGTCGTACCCTGAGACGTCCTCTATTGGGCTTGAGATAGGTGGGCTGCAAATGGTTTTTGCAAAAACACTTCTTTACCTCTGCATGTCAAGCCTGACCCAGAACATTTTACTAATATTGGATCGGGCTCTCCGCTGATGTCATCTGCCTGTGGGAATTGTATTGGCTGTGAAATTAGCTCCTCTTCATAGCTGTTGAAAAAAAAAAATGTTTAAAAAAATCACAATTCTGTGATGCATTTTGAATGACGGAAGCCAGGTTCCTAGGCACTGAGACAAGAAAGAATGTCAACCGGGGCCTTTAATGTGTGTTTATATTTAAACATCAGACCTAACAGAAAACCCTTAAGCTTTATACAATGATTAGAGCCTTGTAAGAACCTAATTAATGTCTCATCGGGTGAATGGTTGGCCCGGCATGCGAGCTGCTCCGAGGGACGCGAGGGGGCTCAGGTACCTGCTAGGAAGAATAGACGCGGTTGTAGTGATTCAGTGGCCCGTCTGAAAGGGACATGTAAAGGCAGCTTTGTCTGGCGTGCTGCCTTTTCAGACTCACTTGATAATGCTAGTGTCAGTTTCAACTGAAGCGTGTGCCAGATTGCAGATAGCGTGAGCTGGCATTTCAAAGCGGTTAATTGTGAAACTTGAGAAGAAAATGGGCACATTCTTCAGAGGTAGCTTTTCAAATGCAATCTTCACCCCCCTCCTCCACCCCAACCCTCACCTCCCCATGCCCCCCCCCTCCACCTCCATGGGTCTCACTTTTGTTCTGCTCCCACATAAAATGCATGAGAAACACTGAGCCTTTCCCCTTGGCAGCTCTGATCTTGCTGTCTTTGCTGGGACTGTTTTGCCTTGTTAAAATGTGCCCCGTGTATTAAAATGAAATTGTCACTGCTGGGTGGTGCGGCGTAACACGGTTTGACACTAAGCGCCGGCAGCGAGAGAAAACAGACTTTTATTGCATTTATTCTTTCAGAGAGGAGAGTCTCTAAAGCCTCACTGTAGACATTGACTTATTAAATCTGAATGAAGCTGAAGTGAACAATCTAGGCTGCTGTCTTTGTGTTCCTAGAAACAGCCCCCATCCGGCTTGATGAGGCTGTAAGACAGTCTTCAGAAAAGGCGGTCATATATAGATTCCAAAAAGGAAGACTGGAGCCTTTCAAACGAGGGCAGAAATATTTTGGGTCGGTCGAGTGGGTTGGCCACTTGACGTTCTTCTTTAGCTATCTCTGGATTCCTTAAAAGACATAATACAGGATCAACAAGTGCGTGCGTGCACACGCGCACACACACACACACGTACGCACACACACACACGTACGCACACACATACACATTTACTGACCCCATTAGGTTTTAGTCTTCAATTAGAATCCCATATCATTTTTAAAAATATTTTCATTGATTTCAGAGAGGAAGGTAGGGGAGAGAGATAGAAACATCAATGATGAGAGAGAATCACTGATCCACTGCCTCCTGCATGGCCCCCACTGGGCATGGAGCCCACAACCCAGGCATGTGCCCTTGACCAGAATTGAACCTGGGACCCTTCAGTGTGAAGGCCAATGCTCTCTCCACTGAGCCAAACCGGCGAGGGCAGAATCCTATGTCATTTTAAGACAAAGAAAAAGGGTTTGATTTGTAGGACTCTTGCAAGCAAGCTTTAGATTCTTAACTGCCTTTTATTGAGATGGGTGCCCAGAGAGAGCCTGAATAGGGAAGGGGACTCTGGGGCATAAGATTTTTATTCTGTGGCTCTCCTGGAATAAAAATCCCATAAAGCAACATCTGTAGTCATTAAGGGCTTACATTTCCCCACCCATTCATGTCTCTACTAGGAGGGAAGGTTATTTCCCCTAAGAGACAATAGATAGTGGATCCTATGGGAAGAAAGAACAGAATTAGAATTCTTTTGTTCCTAGAAATGGAACTTTCCTACTTAAAAAAAAAAGTTGGAAGACTTACTATAAAAGATTCACCAGAAAGAAAACAGAGAAGTTGAAAATTTGTGTGAGCTACTCCAAAATATTTGGAATGAGCAAGGTTTCACCTTGTGTTTCTAATCCAATGTCTTCTGATTTGGGGGAAATTGTGAATAAGCAGTTAACAAAATGCTATCTTTATATTTTTAACTTTTAAAGTTGTATGTTACTAAGATTAAAGAGTTTCTTTTGTTTCATTTGGACATAAAATCAGTTCATTCTTGTTGTTTATCAAAATAACACCTATGTTGCCGAAACCGGTTTGGCTCAGTGGGTGGAGCGTCGGCCTGCGGACTGAAAGGTCCCGGGTTCGATTCCGGTTAAGGGCATGTACCTGGGTTGCGGGCACGTCCCCAGTGAGGGATGTGCAGGAGGCAGCTGATCGATGTTTCTCTCTCATCGATGTTTCTAACTCTCTATCTCTCTACCTTCCTCTCTGTAAAAAATCAATAAAATATATTTTAAAAAAAAATAACACCTATGTTGATCCATTGGACCATTGGATGAACATTGGTGTTATTTTGATAAACAACACTTCAGTTCCTATAGCTGTAATAAATGTATAAGTTCTTTGTCATTTGTGTCCATATTTTTTCCTTGTCTTATAAATAATATGATCCTGGAAACACACATAAGATTTAGAGGTAGAAAAGTTTTACATCTTGTGTCAAAGGGCTCCGTTCCCAGAAAGCTCATATTCATAACAGAGCAGAACATTTAAATTATACTTTGCCTTTTAGACAAATTTCACACATTTCATTTACATCCTTTCATATGGATGTGTTCTGGGTTTGTTTTTTTTGTTTTTTTTTTTTTTTTGTCTCTACTGTGTTGTTTGTGGGACTTAATTTCCTTTAATCAGAGTAAACCATTTATTTTTTATCTTTTCCATCCAATTTTATAAAGTAATAAAGCCCAGATATAGTTAACTTATTAAAATTGTTGCCAATACTACTCTACTTAGGATATGGTGATTCTGCCAATATTGAAATGATGATGGTATAGCTCAAAATGTTCATTCATTAGCTTCTACATGAGATGACAAAATTTGGCACAAGAAACCCAGTTTAGGAACATTGATATCTATTATAAAAAAAAAAATCAAGGGTTGTTCAAAATGAAGAAAGTTCAGCACCTGAGGTTTGTGTATTTACATTCTCCTCTCACATTACAGACACCGAGTAATTCTCTTTTGTATCTTTCTAATGGGTTATCAATATCAAAAGTGTCAGGAAACTGATGACGGCACTACTCTGTTAACCATTATTTAGGCTGAAAGAGGTTGAAATAAAGCACATCTCATCAATTTGCTTTGTGAAGTCCCTCTGCAGGATAGCTTAGTAGTTACAGAATGGCTTTGATGTCAGTTGGGTCTCAGTTAAACTTCTTGGCAAGTGTTTCACCTCTGTAAGCCTCAGCACCCTCCCTGATATGGGAGGCCATAATGAAGTTTGCTAATTTAAACATTTAACAGGTATTTATGGAGCACTTCTTAAAAAATATTTTTAATGAGAAGAGATAAAGCAAAGAATTTATATACTTATATACATAGCCCATGGACTCGGGCAATAGAGTAATGAAGACCTGGGGGGTGGTTAGGTGCTGGGAGGAGGAGGGGAAGGGGAGAAAATGGGAGATATCTATAATACTATCAACAATAAAAAATACATTTATAAAATATGTTTTATTGATTTTAAAGAGAGAGAAAGGGAGAGGGAGAGATTGATAGACACATTGGTAAGAGAGAAACATCATCAATCAGCTGCCTCCTGCATGCCCCCTGCTGGGGATTGAGCCACAGCCCGGGAATCCAATCCATGACCTCCTGGTGCATAGGTCCACGCTCAACCACTGAGCTATACCAGCCAGGCAAGAGCACATTTAATTGCCAAGCATTGTTGTATAGATTACATAAGATCATGCCTTAGTATTGCCTCTGGTTGAGGACTCAGCACAGAGCCATCCACATAAGCAATACTCTCTCAGAAATGATGTGTTTGTGATGTCCTATAAACCTGGTCATGGCAACAGTTGGCAAATTCTGGTAAAACGAATTGAGCTTTTCCATTTTCCTTTTTGTTTTTATTTCTTTTCCTGAATATGCACAAGTTTGTGAAAAGTATATGATCCCTCTTTACTTCTTTTTCCAGAATGGAGTCTACTGAAAAATGTGAAGTGGTAATTCAACATTTTAATGGAAAATATCTGAAAACACCACCTGGCATCCCAGGTAAGACCCACATACCATTAAGTAATGATTCAATAGTGCCTGGGCTTCTTGTTAGGATTAGAATGAGTACATGCTAAGGCCCATAATGGGTCACTGGGATAGAAAAGGATCCATTCATAAATGTATATTTTTTAATACCATGTAGCAACTCCTCTTTCTTAAAACTGCCACACACTTTTTGGTGATTCTTCAATGGCCTTTCTTTTGAATCTCTGCTGCTCATCCCCTAACGTGAATTAGAAGAAAAATATAGCAAAAAGTAGTTAAAGGTGCACTCAAAGTGAAGGAAGTTTATGACTCCTGTCATTCATATGGGTGCATTATCTTGATTTCTTTTTATAAATATCTGAACAGTGATATGCACAGTAGAGGCCACAGCTTGATGTCAGTGTCCAAACATATCTTCCTGGTCCATGACAAGAAGAGTACAGAAAGTGAGCATAAGCATTTAGAAGCTTTCATAGCAAATGGACATTGTCATACAATCTGGGTGCATAACTTCATATTTTACAAAAATACCAGTTACTGACATATTGAAAAATTTCTTAAAACTGTCCATTCATCAGAGAGAGATTGAGGAGCATCAGCCTAGACTGTCCCAGGGCACTTCTCATTTCCCAAAGCAAAATTCTTAAGTCCATATATACTAAGAGGATGTAACGTTATGCTATTAAGAATTACATTTTAAAAAAGAATTACGCTCAACATACAAAAGTTGAACCTATCACATGTCAGAGCTTAAGCAGAAATGCCTGCCTTAATTTGATATTAACCTGGTAGTAGCATATATGGAGGTATTTAATATTAGGTAAGTACATTTAAAAATATATCTCACTCCCATATGAAAACATTAAAACTTGACAGAGATGCTAAAAACTGCAATGAATGAATAAAGAAATATCTGACTAACGCATGTTGGTTTATTTGTTGCTCTTTTGTTTTTCGTGGTTCTCCAGAATAATGTAACTTCTTCGGCCTTACAATATTTTTCCTTTTGGTCTTTTAAAAAATGTATTTATTGTTGGAAGTATTACAGATGTCCCCTTTTTGATCTTTCCAAGCTGGATTTCTATAGTGTTTTTAATGTGTATATTACTTCAAACCCATGGTTAGAGAGTTCAGGGGTTGAACATTTTATTTATTTATTTATCATAAATATATTTTATTGATTTTTTACAGAGAGGAAGGGAGAGGGATACAGAGTTAGAAACATTGATGAGAGAGAAACATCAATCAACTGCTTCCTGAACACCCCCTATTGGGGATGTGCCCACAACCAAGGTACATGCCCTTGACCGGAATCGAACCTGGGACCCTGCAGTCTGCGGGCCGACACTCTATCCACTGAGCCAAACCGGTTAGGGCAGGGAGTTGAACATTTTAATTCCTTAAAATATGTTGAGGTTTATACAAGAGGAAGTTTGAACAAAAAGAAATATTTTTTTGTGAAGGGGTCAGGGTTCTTTGTGAATTGGTTGGTTTGGGGAGGAGGTCAGGAAAGAAGAGGATGATCTGCAAAATCCAAAGTGGCATTTCTGGTTAATCTGAGAATCAGCACACACTGAAGCCTGGGCCTCAGTCTGGTTCGCTCCCATGCATAATGTTCCCTTGAGAACTGACTGCATTTGGAACCTCTCTGAGACATATGGTGTTGTTCAGAAAAGAGTTTGCAATTTACATCTCAGCATGTAAGCTGCCCTTGCATTTTAGAGACATACTTTTTATTTATCTTTTATTTTAGCATAAAAAAGCACTTTAAGACACTATGCTCAGACCCACCATTGAAGAAAGGAGTTGTACTGTTAGAGGATTTTTGCTGTATTTATCCCTTTTCATCCAAAAGAGGCCTATCTATATAGAAGGTGTGAATTATATGGCTATCTAAAAAATTAAGAGTGAACAAAGTATACAGAAAGTATTGTTGACTTAAGTTTTAATACAGGTGTCAGTTTTTCGTGTGTGTTTTTTTTAAGGTTTCTTCCTTTTCAGAAAAAGACACTGAAATACTTATTGACTTGATTGATTTGGAACTGTTTGATTTGCATTCCCCATAAAATGTAAAGCTGACTAACACAACTGAATGCTAAAGACAAAGAGAGTCACTAAAAATCCCCAAATGTCTGGGCATTCTTCCTGAATATGCAGGCTCTGATATCAACCTATCTAATATCATAGCTACACCCAATGGAAACATTGTGAATAGCAAGAACTTAGTTATGAGTTTCTCTCCACTTTTATCTCATGGGAACATGAGGGGCGAAATAATTGTTCTCAGTTTTAAAACTCTTAGAGATATAACTTTATGCTTCTGATATTTGCCCTCAACCTTAATAGAATGAAATGTACAATATTGATCATAATTGGTATTTGAATTTGCTTATTCGTGCAAATTGGAATTCAGAGTTTAATAAAGGCTAACAGAAGGTATTTAATCTTTGATATTTCAATTTGGTGTTAATAAAACAGGACAGCATGCAAGATGTGTGTATTTTGGAAGACCCAGTAGTAAAATGCCCTCATTGGGCACATTTAGTAAGTCAGACAGGTCTAACCAAATTTAGGTGTGTACAGTTTGCCTTTATTTGTCCTCATTGCTTACTTGTTGTGGAAGGTTGAAATCTTATATACAGTAACTCCCAACTTAATCCTGTTATCTATTCCATGTTGAAAACTGAGTGGGATGTCACTGAGAGCTCTGATATCAGATTGGAAGCCGTTGCTTTGATCTTTTCAAAAGGAGTGGCTGATTTCCTAACTTTTTCAATATGATTGTGGCTTCTGGGCATCCTAATTAAAACCAACTACAATTGATCCAACCTGCCTGCAACTAAAATAGAATTCAAAAAAGTTATTTTAAAAACCCAGGCTTCCACATTCTCAAGATTTGACATCTTTAAATTCAGAAGTTTGTGGCTTTATAGAACTCACATTGATGGTTTCAATATAATGCTTTAAGGCAGTGTGATTGAGGGACCCACAGTGATACAACAATGACCTGAGGTTCCCAGGCCCTGTAAAAGCTGTTGAAAAGATTTCATGTTAAGTCAGTTATCTTCTCATACTAGAGCGCTGCTTTCAACCTTCCTTTAAACAAGTAGAGAACAATGGGGCCCAATTCGCATTATTTATTTCTCCATTCAGGAATGACTTGGGAACATGTGCACATGTCATTGAGCAAATATATTGCCATTTTGGCTCCTGTCACTTTGACAATGATTCCTCTTAAAGGAGATGCAAAGTTAATTTTTTCCCCTCAGAAGATTATCTAGTTTCCTAGTCCTCCACTGTGTCGTTTCTGTGAAAGAACCAGGAAAAAATAACTTCAACCCAAAATTTTGACATTGCTCTGATTTTCAAATTATAAAAACATCATAGTTAAGGATATTTGCAAGGACATGTAACCGGGACTACATTTATGTTGCTGTCTCCATTTTGATTTGCATTATTCTAGGAACAATTTATTCATTAAACAGATTTCATGATGATATTGAGTTTTCCTTGCTGACAGATGTGAGCTGGAAGCACCCTGTGTAGGTGCTTCTTTTGACTTATTTTCTTTTTCTCTGGGATCCTTTTGTTTGTTCGTAAAAGATCTCATTTTAATGAGTGCATCATGGATCATTAATGCCTATTAGAGTGTCTCAGAACTAGCTCTGTTCATTTTGATTTATAATGTTATCCCAAGATTTTGGTTATTTCAATCAATGAAGCTAAATATACCTGCCAAAAATAAAATTATTTGAATTCTGATACATATATATATATATATATATATATATATATATATGTATATATATATATCAGGAAAATTAGGTGGCTATGTTGCTACTAGCAGATGGGAAGAAGACACCAAAGATGAGTACTAAGCAGCATCAATCATTGTAGTCATCCTCAGAAACAGACCATCCAGCATCTTCTCCTTTCCCTAGAGGGAAACGAAAACATAGTGTTCCATAAATGTTGCATGTCCCACATATCGATCTTGATGTTTTCTGGACAAAATGAAGGACCATTAGTCGCTTGCCTGCCTAACCCCAGACATTTCTTTGTCCTGTAATGAATTGCTCGGCAATGCTGTGCAGCCCCAAAGCGTTCCATTTTCAAACCAAAAGCAAAGGGTAAGTTCCCAGACACTTCAGGGATCTGTAGGGCATGAACTTGAAAGGCTCACTTTCAAAGAGCCCCCAGAGCAGAGTGATGCACCATTGGAAAAGGTTCCACAAGTTAGGGCATGTATTGATGAAGAGAACGCGCAGGCTAGTTTGTAGAAAAATAGACTTTTGCCTGTAAGCACATGTTCCTATTAGGGAAGCAGTCTTTCTAGAAGAAAATGGTATAACTCTCTGTTAGTATAATTTTCTTATCCTTTGGGTAATTACTTCTAATCCCAAATGAACTCCAAGAAGTAGGCAAGAGTGAGAGAAAGATCAACACATTCAGAAATCTTTTCAATTTTACCCAATCCTGTGATCAACAGAAATTGGACAGATAATTAAGTGACACAGGAATCATATTTTTCTAATTAGAATAAAACCGTGTGCCTTCTTGATACTTTGATATAATTTTGCTATTGTGTGTTTATGTAAATAAGAAATGTATATGATTGTGGATATGCAGTATATGTCATGAGTGCAAGAGAAGAAAAGTGTTTAAAATATGATAATTTTTAAGGAAAACGAACAAAGAAAATTTTGTTAAATTTAAATTGTCCCCCAGAGTAAAATGTCAATAATGTACTTATATAAAATTTATGTTTATAGACATGGTTCAAAATTCTGAGTATTTGAGCAATAGATATATACATTTTTATCAGTGGAAAATGTTGCAGACCCTCACAACCGGAGTTTTCCTCTGTGGTATCAGTTTGTTGCGTCCACAAATGTAACTGTAGCTGAGAGCTGAGTAAGAGGCAGCAAACAGAAAAATATTATGGTACAGGTTAGCAAAGATATTCCTTTATTGTTCTACTGAGAAGCACTGTCTAATGCTGGCTTTCCCAT